CCCTTTCCCCGCCCCCTTGAGAACTTTGCTTGCCATCCTCTCTGCTCTCCGCTGTCTGTCTGGGGAAATAAAGTCGGATTCTTACGAAGCATCGGAGCGCTGCATCAACCCCAAGGACTTGCGTCGTCGCGGTCGGTCGCGGTTGTGCTTTCTCGCCCACTGTGTGCGATACATACGCCATATGTATTTGGATGATTGTGTAGAAAACGTTGTTTTTGAAGTTAAACCCAAGATTTAAGCAAATTAGAGAGCATAATTGCATGTTTTTTGTGCAAATGAATGCAGTGGGGTCTACAAATCAGCGCTAAAATTTGTATAACTAAAAATTTGATTGCTTTGTCATGTTTTCGCGTGCCCCTGTGCAAAGGCCCTAATACGTCGACAGCGACAGGTGACAGCGGTGTATGAGTCCTCTGTTTGAGTTTCCGATAAAGGCGTGCTTCAAGCAACGGAGTCAGTTAGTTTCTTCCGGTGTACACTTAGTGGTGTGAAGGTGCGGCGCCTCGGCGGCGGGCCCATAGCCCATAGCGCCCGCCAGCGACGGGGTCGGCAGGCCCGCCGGGCACGGGTGTGAGCGGGCCGCCCGCGCTGCCTACCCCCCGGGCGCTCAGCACGCTCATCACACTCAACAGCCCTAGCGCCTGGGAGCGCCGGGGTGGTCAGGCCCGCCGGGCACGCGTGCGAGAGGGCCGCCCGCGCTGCCTACCCCCAGGGCGCTCAGCAAGCTCAGCGCTCAGCACGCCCAGCACGCTCAGCACGCTCAGCACGCTCAGCACGCTCAGCACGCTCATCACACTCAACAGCCCTAGCGCCTGGGAGCGCCGGGGTGGGCGGGCAGGCCCGCCGGGCACGCGTGCGAGAGGGCCGCCCGCGCTGCCTACCCCCAGGGCGCTCAGCAAGCTCAGCGCTCAGCACGCTCAGCACGCTCAGCACACTCAACAGCCCTAGCGCCTGGGACCGCCAGAGTGAGCAGGCCCGCCGGGCACGCGTGCGCGAGGGCCGCCCGCGCTGCCTACCCCCAGGGCGCTCAGCAAGCTCAGCGCTCAGCACGCTCAGTACGCTCAGCACATACAACAGCAGCCCTAGCGCCTGGGAGCAGCGCCAGGATGGGCACGGGCAAGCCCGCCGGGCACGCGTGTGAGCGGGCCTCCCGCACCCAGGCGCTCAGCGGCGCTCAGAGCGGCTCGCAGTGATTAACCCGGCATTCAGAGCGAGCAGCCCCGCGGGCCCCTGGGAGACTGGGGGGGAGGGGGGGAGGGAGGGCATGTTCCAGGGAGTGTGGAGGGGGAGGGCTGCGCACCGTGCGTCGGACTTTGAGGGGTGGCCCCGCGCGCCCACCCGCGCGCCTCCAGAAGGACCATAAGGAGGGCCGCGTGAGTGACGTCGCCGCGCGCCCAAGGTGGTGCGGGCGGGTCGCCGCGCGGCGCGGCGCCACGCTAACGAGCGGGCGATGGGGCGCCGTGTGTCTCTGTCACGCCCATTAGCTCGTTGTTGGGGAGGTGGGGGGGGGGAGTCCCCACAACGCCCCCCGCAGGCCCCGCCCCGCCCTCCACACCACGTGTTATGACCAGAGTCATCCCTCACTTGTCAGCGCCCTGACGGCGCGACACGGCGCGACGGGCCCGAGGCCTTGCGGGCCCTGCCGACGCAACACTGTTGCCAGGGCTGCCGGGCATGCCAATGTGACGCTGTGGCGCCGTCGCCTTGAGGCCACTGGAGGGGCTCGGGGACGAACAGGCGCCATTGTGCGAGTCAAAACAGGAAAAGCCGACGAGAGGAGAGGTGACGACAGATTTATGATCCACTTTTGAACATTAATTCTAAAACGTGACTTTTCGTGGCTGCCGTCAAAGACCTGGTGGTAGAGGTCGGCTGCTGCAGCGTATTCAAGGTCATCGCCATGAATGAGTAAATAACGAAACGCCTCGCAAACTTTTTCGTTTAATTTGAATATTGAGAGAGGCCCCGACTTTTCATAGACGAAGAGCGTGGCATCTCAAGTCTCGAGGAGCGACCATGTTCTTATGGTGCGCCCCGACTTCACCTCGTAAAGTACACCTCTCCCCCCAATTACTCGTATGCCATATCACGCTTCGCCTCCCAAAAGACCGGCCTGGTGGAGACGTCTCTAGAGCGGAGGGGCGGCTGAGCAGCCTGCAGCCGACGGGAGTACCAAAGACAACGTCCCCTTTATTTCAGTGTTTGTTGTTCTGTCACTACCTTTCCGACGGTGCATGAAATAAAGTTGAGGAAGAAGGAGGAGTCTCTTAGAACTTGTAGACGCATGACTTGCGCGCATGCAAGCAAGGGACACGCGTTGAATGCGAGGTCGAATGTATGTTTTGTTAAATAACGTATGGTACTAGTACAGTGTGCATTGTAGACTACTCCAAAAAAGTACAGTTAAAAAAATCATTGGGAATTAAAAAAACGTTAACATTTCTTGTAAACTGCGAAACGAACCCACGGCTAAGGAAATGTGGTCGCCTTTGTGTTTTGTATCGAATGTTATTTACGCGACTTTTTTCGTGATATCTTTTCTTTTTTAGAGACCTTTAGTTTAATAACTGTACGCTATTTTTGGCGTGGCCGAAAATGCAACAGGTGGTGTTGAACCATGGCACTTCT